ATCGGTTTGCGGTCATCCAGCACAACCAGAATTCATACATAAGGCGCGCTGTCAACTTTTGAGAAAATGAAAGGATTTTAGGCTGTGCATGGCGTTAGCGTGGTTAGCTCGTTAGCGTGGTTAGCTCATTAGCACGTTGACGCCGTCCAGCCCCACGCACGGGGCGATGCGCAGTAACTCGTTAATGGAGATTTGCCGTGTCCATCTTGTCGCTGCTTGCAGGTGAAGCAATGGGGAAGGAGGGGGAGTTGTGTTCAGTGAAGGAGAGACGAGGCCGAGTAATGTTGCGCAAAGACAAAAGTGGATGAAAGAGAGGAAAACTTGTGGCTCCACAACTATAATTATAACGTAACATAGACTATATCTATATAAACGATATTGTCACAGCTTATATCTCGTATAAAAATATATTGATATTTTTAAAAAACTCGATATATCGCCCAGCCCTACTGTAACACATATACAGTTCAAGTATGCAATAAAGGGTGTGTGTGGCATATAATTGGCTACATCTAACCTTCGGCAACACAAATGTCTCGTTGTTTTTTTTGACTGCACCAGGGAGGTGCAGATATCCTATGGCTCAAATTAAAGTCTTGGTAGGCTATGCAATTTGTCTCAAAGAATGTAAGGATAATGACGGCGTGTACAGTAGCTGAGGTGCTCCATGGACACTCCAGAGACTCTTGGCTCCTGATTGGTCATTAATCAAATCAAATCAAATCACTTTTATTGTCACATCACATGTGCAGGCACACTGGCACAGCACATGCGAGTGAAATTCTTGTGTGCGAGCCCCACAAGCAACAGAGATGTGCAAACACAACAACACAAACGAGCAAAATACAAGAATGGCCAACCTGAAACTAATAAATATATGTACAATATATAATAGTGTATGCATTTCTGGATGTGTATACTAAATATTTTCCTACGTGTGTGTGTGTGTGTGTGTATACACATTTTTACAAATTAAATAGTAAAAAAATAAAATAATAATAATAATAATAATAATAATAATAATAATAAAATATATAAAATATACAGAGTTGAATATGTGCAAAACAAGTGGCATTTATATACAGTGTGGAGTGCATAATGTTGAAGTTCCAGTAGTGAAGCTGAGGTGTCTATGACGTGTTCAGCAGTCTGATGGCCTGGTGGAAAAAGCTGTCTCTCATTCTGCTGGTTCGGGACCGGATGGTGCAGAACCTCCTTCCTGATGGAAGCAGTCTGAACAGTTTATGGCTGGGGTGACTGGAGTCCTTGATGATCCTCCCCGCTTTCCTCAGGCACCACTTCCTGTAGATGTCTTGGAGGGAGGGAAGCTCACCTCCAATTATCCGTTCAGAGCACCGCACTACTCGCTGGAGAGCTTTGCAGTTGTAGGCGGTGCTGTTGCCATACCAGGTGGTGATGCATCCAGTGAGGATGCTCTCAATGGCACAGTGATAGAAGGTCCTGAGGATGCGGGGGCTCATGCCGAATCTTTTCAGTCTCCTGAGAAAGAAGAGGCGCTGCTGGGCCTTCTTCACTGTTTTGTTTGTGTGTACTGACCACGTAAGATCCTCAGCCAGGTGTACACCAAGGAACCGGAAGCTGCTCACTCTCTCCACAGCAGCGCCGTTGATGGTGATGGGGGTGTGTACTTCTCTGCACCTCCGGAAGTCCACTATCAACTCCTTTGTCTTTGCGACGTTGAGGGTGAGATGGTTGTCTTGACACCAGTGGGTCAGGGCGCTGACCTCCTCCCTGTAAGCCGTCTCATCACGGTTGGTGATAAGACCCACCACTGTAGTGTCGTCCGCAAACTTCACAATGATGTTGGAGCTGTTAGTGGCTGTGCAGTCGTAGGTGTAGAGTGAGTACAGGAGAGGGCTCAGTACACACCCCTGTGGAGCACCAGTGTTCAGTGTGATGGGGGATGAGGTGATGCTGCCCAGTCTGACCACCTGGCGTCTGTCAGACAGGAAGCTAAGGATCCAGCTGCAGAGGGAGCTGCTCAGTCCTAGATCCTGCAGTTTCCTGTCCAGCTTCGAGGGAACGATGGTATTGAATGCTGAGCTGTAATCTACAAACAGCATCCTCACATACGTGTGTCTCTTCTCCAGGTGTGACAGGGCAGTGTGTAGTGTCAGGGCTATGGCATCATCAGTGGACCTGTTGTGGCGGTATGCAAACTGTAGAGGGTCCAGTGAGTCGGGTAGTGCAGAGCAGATGAAGTCCCTGACCAGCTTCTCGAAGCATTTGCTTACGATGGGGGTCAGGGCTACAGGTCGCCAGTCGTTCAATGAGGAGATGGTGGAGGATTTGGGTACAGGGACGATGGTGGCCATTTTGAAGCAGGCTGGGAGTACAGACAGAGAGAGGGAAAGGTTGAAGATGTGCGTGAACACTCCAGCCAGCTGAGCCGCGCATGACCTGAGGACGCGGCCGGGAATCCCGTCCGGACCAGTAGCTTTGCGTGCGTTCACCTTCCTGAAGCACTTCCGCACATCCTCCTCAGACACAGTGTGCGCACTGACGTCATCCGCGGTGCGCACACTGTCCGGTCTCATGGTGTTCGCTGTGTCGAATCTAGCGTAGAATACGTTTAGATCCTCACACAGAGAGGCCGTGGTCTGCGGTGTGCTGGTTTTCCCTCTAAAGTCTGTGATCGTGTTTAGTCCCTGCCACATACTCCGAGGGTTGTCAAACTGTTGTTCCACCCTGTCCCTGTACTCACGTTTGGCTGCTTTGATCGTCTTCCGGAGTTGGTAATGTGCGTGTTTGTAGTCCGATGTGTTCGCGGAGGCAAAGGCGGTGTTCCGTGCTGCGCGAACATCTCCGTTAATCCAGGGTTTTTGATTTGGGAAGGATTTGACTGTTCTGGATGGGACGACATCTTCCACGCATTTCCTGATAAATCCACAGACTGAGTCTGTGTATTCATCAATGTCTCTGGCGGCCACGTGAAACATTTCCCAGTCCGCGTGATCAAAACAGTCCCGCAGCGCAGACTCCGATTGGTCCGTCCAACAGTGCACCGCCCTCCGGGTTGGAGCTTCCTGTTTCAGCTTCTGCCTGTAGGCGGGCAGGAGCAGGATGGAGCAGTGATCTGATTGGCCGAATGGGGCGCAGGGGAGGGCTTTGTACGCATCCCGGAAAGAGGTGTAACAGTGGTCGAGTTGCCGGTTTCCACGTGTGTTGAAAAGGATGTGTTGATGGAGTTTTGGTGAGACTTTCTTCAGGTTTCCCTTATTAAAGTCTCCGGCTGTGATAAACGCTGCCTCTGGGTGTGCGGTTTCCTCGCTGCTGATCGCGCTGTACAGTTCCCTGAGTGCAGCGCGATCAGCAGCGAGGATTAGCTTGCAGCTTGATTGACTCTTTAGGAACTACCACACTTGGGTTTGTTGAGTGGTTGAAAATGTCAAATATTTGCAAGTTCACTGCCGATCAGCTTTGTGTGGGGGATTGTTGGTCTTCACCAAAACCAACATATATTACTGGTTGTGTATCTCTGATCATTTAAGAGCAGTTTCAAGGCGTACTTGATCTGATTGCTTCGTTAAGGCGCTCCTATGACCAAAATAGGAGGGGGGGCTTGGGGTTCTGCAAACTTTAAGGATTATCTAGAAGGACTGACAGATGATGGCGGAATGTGCTGTGGCTGAACTGGTTCAATGGAGATTCCAGTGACTCCTACTTCTGATCAGTCATGATGCTGGGGTGTGAGTGATTCTGTAGGTGGTGTTGCAACACTCAGAAAGATCTGAACACAAAATCTGCTTCTAGGTGACCACAGTAAAGAGATAATGATGGTAGTTCTACCACAGGGATTTTAAGTTATGACACTGTTGTACATTACAACATGAGTAGGTGGATGGGGGTAGAGTGCACCTTGATGACAATCTGACTGTACTAAATGCTTGTGATAGAAGCTGATATTGCAGGCATGACAGATCTGGAATCTGTCTTCTCTAAACGAGTGACGGTAAGTCAGCCGCAGTGGTGAGGCATTTCAGGACAAAGGAAGGTTGGTGAGAGAGAGGCAAGAATGAGAACTGATCAAAAACGGCAGGTGAAAAGGAATGCAAAGTCATGTTGCTATAGCAACTGGCCATGCAGCCAAGGATAAAGGCTGGAGTTGCAAGCAGTCCCTTTCTCTATCGTTTCCTCTGCCTCTTATCAGAAATGAGCAGAGTCATTGCCTCCTTATGCTTTTGGTGAACAGATAACTTGTCGAGTATACGTCCATCTGACTGTGCCATTATGCATTCACTCACGGGGGTGGAGGGGCACTTTAGTCCCGCTACCATGATTTGTCTCATTGCCAGAGAAAGTGATCCATTTGAGGATGGATGACATGCTAACCTTCACATTTGTATGCGTGAGACAATGTTTCTGCCTATATCACTTCTAGAGGCAATTGCTTGCGTTGTTGAATAATGGAGGCAGGATGGATCCTGGTTGCTACAGCAGCAGCGAAGCTGAGCGAAAGATTTTCACTGCGGCAACATGTACAGACTGATAAACACATACAAATTCTAATACTAACACTTATACTAATGTATGTATGGATGGACCTGGCTAGAGAGGTTGTTTTTAGTAAATGAGCCTTGAGTGATTTTGGGGTTTACAAAACTATTCAGATTTAGTAACCCTGGAGGCTGCAGAGATATTTGCGTAATATTTTGTTTGATGCCATCTGTGTCCATATTTATGAGTTGAAAGAGGAGCAGCGGTATAAGCAGCGAGCCTGCAGTAATGACACGAGCAGTGGGCATCTTAAACAACAAGTGCATTGTCAGTTTTGGCCGGCGGTCATAGGTTCTGTCCAATAATATGACGCGAGACTGGAGTAAAAGACATCCATGGTTTGGCACTTTATTAAAGAAGGAGCATGATAACAGCACAAACACTAACTACAACTAAACAAAATGGCTTCCTTTTATACTCTACCTTTTCAGGTGAGCATCTGGAATAGCCCAAGTATGGGGGTTAACCAATCAAAATGAACACATAACCCTCCACACAAACAAACATACAATAACATTAAAGCACATCACAAACATATACATATTTCCAACACATACTATAAACAAACCAATAACATAAGCTTCACCCATTTCTATCTAAATTAAAACCCTCTTTATCCATACTCCCTAACCTGGCACACTGGTCTGCTCCAAGAGCTCTTAAACAGGTGATTGAGCCGCTTTCACTCTTTTGCTCCACATCCTGCAAGAAGCAACTAGGACAGGTGAGTACCTTTACAAGTTCTCATTTCACATATGTTTAGGTTATTGATAAATGATTAACTGCAAACAGCTCTAACTTTGGCTCTTCTCCGACACAGGTAGGATGGCCAGTCCCACTGTCTCTTTTCTGTTACAAGCTGTCAATTTAATTGTATATCAAATAACCTAATAAAAGACTCCAAAAGATCTAATGTGTTTTCTTTATTACCCTATTTTAAATTCCCAATCCAACAATTTATTATTAACAATACCAACCAGGTAATGGAACCCCTGGTCTCCATTACATGCATGTTCACAGATCTACCTGACCGTAGTCTGAGCATGAAAGCATTACTGTAAAGCCTCCCACACTAAATCCCAAATATGAATCTGATGGCCTCATTCAGTCAGACATGATTTGGCCAAACATGAACCAATAGGCCTTGTTGGGCCTTCAGGCCCAAAACATACAGAACATAGATTATTATTCTCTGTTGCTTTCTGCTCCAAAACAGAGGATGACAGCTGCCATAGAAGTAAAATAATAAAGCCACAGGCACACTTTTTTTTAACTCGTTTCCTCCATTTGAAGAGCAAAAGCAGAGGAAATCATTAAATGGCAACACTAGGTTTACCTGTGCAAGGGATTTTTAATAAAACAAAATATATGGTTTGTAATTAATGAGATTATCTTTCTATTATATGAAAATATTATTCAGAGCATATGTGTATGATAAATCTTGTCTGTCATTTTTTTTCTCATGCCAATATGTTATTTGTAACTCCTATGGATATGACAGTGCTGGAGCCATAAGGATAAGTAATGTTACAGACTTCTGGACAGGTTTTGTGCAGTATTTTGCAGGCCGGCTTTAGTGTCAATGACATATATCATGGGTCTTATATACAACAGTTTAATATGCATAAATGAGAAATGTTTTTACTCTTGTTTTACTCATATGTTAGAGTTAAAAAATGCAGCACTTCATGGTAAATGGCCTGTATTTGTATAGCGCTTTACTAGTCCCTAAGGACCCCAGCTACATTGTAGCCACAGCTGCCCTGGGGTGCACTGACAGAGGTGAGGCTGCCGAACACTGGCGCCACCGGGCCCTCTGACCACCACCAGTAGGCAACGGGTGAAGTGTCGGCAATCTTCCAATTACAAGGCGAACTCCCAACTCTTGAGCCACGATCGCCCCATATTTATTTTCAGTAAAAGGTTTGTTTGGAACATAACCCATTTGTTGTGGAACATAACCCTTTTTTACACAGCAACTATTCAGATATTATCTTGAGATATGTTATTTAACATTTGTCTTTGTAAAGAAATTTACCAAAAGAAAAGAAGTTTAGAGGTATAAACTGCACCAGATGGTAACTGTAACAACCTTTCTGTAGTGTCTCCATAAGGGAAAAAAAAAATCAATGGAAACAATAAAAGTACTGTATAGCTGACCTAATTATTTTTTGCCAAAAATGCGCAGCTTTTGGCTCTTTTACTGGGGCTGTCATGTCAGTCCTTCACTTCTTGCTGTGTGATTGACAAATACTTCAACATCTAAAATGCTTCACTCCTCTTTGGAAATTTCAGACAGAGTTCAAAGACCTGAAAAATAGATATTGCATTAAAACCACAAGGCATTGCATGTTGCCTTAACAAGTACTCAGTGTTATTCTAAAGTTAACTAACTTAGCAGATGTCTCTAAACAAGATGGCTGACAGATCAGCTGAGGAATTCTTTGATGTGCTGGAGCACACCATTGTACCAACCCATCCCATGAGCCCCCCTGTCTCTTTCTCATCACTGTGTCATTCTCATTGTGCTTATCAACTATCAAAGGCTCCTTTGGTCCCTCCTTCTGCATCATCGACTTTAATGAAATTAGGCAAATGAGTGAAAAGCTGCACCAATGATATCCCAGAAGACATGCCTAGTGTATGCAGCAGACAGCAAAAACTGTATGTTCACCTAGGGGTGGGCGGTATAAACAGTATACGGTAGAAACGATATAAATTTGGCCAATGGTAGAGATTTTGACTATACCGCTCTACCACGATAGCACAAGCTGCGCCTGTTTTGGTCGAAAGCATTGCAGCGGCTGCAAACACAACAACATCTGCAAATTACTGTTCTTCCTCCACTTCTGTACCATTGATTAATTAATGCTGAATTCTCTCGCAGCTGCTCTATTCCCATGTTGTTGCAGTATATTAATGACTAACCTTGTATTGTGGATGGATTATTTCAGTTGTTCTCCTGACTGAAGTTTGATCCGTTTATAACATCCTGCCATGCAATTGCATTTGTCCCTGACCACCAGAAATCCTCACGTTAAATTTTATCGAGTGGAAAAAGGTTAGCGTTCATCCTTCAGCTTTACTGTGCTAATGTTATGCTAACATAGCTGTTTTGCAAGCGATCATGTAGCACATCATTATATACCAGCTAGTCCAATTTCAGTAACCCTACAGAGGTCACTGCTGTTTACTTTTCTGTCTTCATTTATGTTGGAAGTGATAGCAGAGCTGTACGTTTTAATTTTTTTATTAATCTCTCAGTCAGAACATGCTATATCATGTTTAGGTGGAAACTAGCGAGCTAACTTCCTGCTAACTTCTAACTCCGTTGAATTTAATAAATTCTGTTAGAGCTGGGCGATAGAACGATAACGATATGTATCGCGATATAACTTTTACTCGATAGAGAAATTAAGCTATCGCGATAGACCTCGTCGCTCTTGTCCTCTTAAAAAAAAAAAAAAAAAAAAAAAAGATCAGCCAATCCAAATTAAGTAGCGCAGAGCCGAACCAATCACAGCCGCAGCGTCACGTCGCGTGACTTGTTACGTACAGCACAAGTGCCAAGCCGCACGTGTGTTTGTTTGGGAAGCAGCCAGCGGGTAATGGAGGAAATGAGTGTGCCGACTAGAAAAATCAACCGAGCGTGACCGAAGAGAAAACAGATAATGGTTCCAACGCCGGAGAGATTGTCGAACGGAAGAGCCATAGAAGTTCCGTAGTGTGAAGGTATTTCGGCTATTTCAAGTCTGACAAAAAACAGAGTAGCGTGCACTGTAAATTGTGCCGAAAGCAAGTCTGGAAATACAATGAACTGGTGCATGCGTCACACTGTGCGCCACGTTATTGTTTCGGTGAAATGAATTTCTACAATACTGTTAATTCTACTCTCTGCAGTGTTTAAATGCTTACATATACACACAGTTACTGTCCCTCCACACATACGACTCGGTTCTGCTTCTATGCCCCAGCTTTGTTTACTTTTTCCCACCGAGGCTTCTAGACTTCTGATTGGCCAACATTTCTGCACGGTTAGGAATCTAGCGCCACCTGCTGCTTTGGCATGTTCATAGCAGCGTTTTCCTTCATTTCTGCCTTTATGTGTGGACGGGATTATTTTTTAAAACGAAAACGGAAAATCTCCGTTTTCAAAAATACCCGTGTACGTGTGGACGTAGCCTCAGTCTCTGACTGGAAGCGCTAATTCGTCATTCGGCTTTTGTCAGACTAAAGTAACTGTTAAAACTGTTTGAAAAGCTAAGCTATACAACACGGAGAGATTGAGAATTTCCTTTTAGTTCTCAGTTTATTTGATATTGACAAAAGTTAGTCAGTTTTGTCTGTTCTTCTGTAACACAAACTAAGATTTATTTTTAGAATTAATTAATATTTTGTTTCTAAGTGGAATTGACAATTTAGTCTGTTTTGTTTGTTCTATTTTGAAACTTAAACGCTTTAGCGGCTGCCTTTTGTGTAGTTTGCAATATTTGCCTTTATTTATCTGAAAAAGTCTCATGTTTCTTAAGTACATCTACCCTGTTGAACTTATTATGGGAAATAAATATTTAAATAAAAACAAGCTGCTGATTATTTCACATTTTACTTGTGAGCAACGGCACATTTAAATCTTACAAATATAGTTATTTGGCTTATATCGTGATAGATATCGTTATCGCCTGAAATGAAAAAAACATATTGTGATATGAAAAAATCTCATATCGCCCAGCTCTAAATTCTGTATTCATGGATGCCTGGATGTCCAACTTAATTGTTACACCCGATAAAGCAGCAACACTGATCATTTTATTAAAGATGAAAGAATTTAGACAGTTTTTAACTCTCAGTAATGCCTCAGTGTTCGTTTGACTTTGGAACCTGAAGAAGACGGAGTTTTGGACCCAGATTACTCCGCAAGGCTCCTGACTACGGTAGCTGTAATACTCTGACTTTTCTCTGATTTTTGAGAAAATTAAAGGTTTTTGAGTGGGCCTTATAATGTGTAAAATACGTTATACAAAAGAAAATAATATATTGCGATATATATCGTTACCGCACATGCTTCAAATTATACTGCGATATGGATTTTAAGCCATATCGCCCAGCCCTATGTTCACCCTCAAAAGGATAAACATACTATTTCTTTTAAATGGCACAAATATCAGAAACCCCAAAAACCCAAACTACAACTGCTTGTGTTTGAATGGGCAGCACAAAGTTCTTGAGGTTAGGCCCAGCACTGACAAAGAGCTGCTGAGCCGAGGTCCTGGGCTGCACTAAGCAAAAACCGTAGCTGACAGATGACCAATCTGGCAGACAGCTGCTGAATAGGAGGTTGAAGGGATTAGGACGTGTTGGGTTTAATAAGACATCCTGGATGAAGATGACAGGGTGGGAAAAGAAGAAGCAGATAGATAGCAAATGAGGAGGGATCAGCAGTATGCAAGTAGAGGTCCAGGGATTACTGAAGAGAGGTCAAAGAAAGCTCTTACTCTCACAGATGGGCGCATACATGCAGAAGTCTCTTTCTCAGAGACGGACATAGAGCAAATGGATCTGAGGGCAAAGGCTTCACTTGACAGCTATTGAAAAAAACCATACAAAAGGTGAAACATGAAACAGAAACAGAGCTTTCTGTTTCAAGTTTTCTAAGAATATATGGAGCTAGGTGAAAACCTTCCATTGATGGATCATGATCATTACAAGGCAAAATAAAAACAACATAAGGACTTCTAATTTAAGAAGCAGATTGCTTTCATGCCGCTTAGCAGGTGAGTCAAGATGCACTTCTGAACAAAAAGTGTCTTGAATGAAAGTGTCACGTCCATCATGCAGCATTAAGAAAAGGCAACTTCTTCTCCAATCTGTCTTGGAGAACAGACAACAATGACACTGAAATGCTGTCAAC